GATATCACTGCCATGCACTCCATTCTCGGTCTGCTCGGCTTATCTTTCCTGTTCCTCCACCTTTTACCCTAGCCCCAACACACTGCAGCCAACTGATCCTACCAACGTTTCACTGTTCCTCATGCCCGTGATACTTCATGCCCCTTTTTGCTAAGTGTAAATTCCATAATCAATTACTATAATCGCTGCATCTTCGATTTCCTCTCTCCTTTCCTACTTCCTTGGCAAAACCACAACCTGATCAAATTCAACTCTCCACCCGTTCCATGCCTTTTTTCATATAGCTAAACAAGGAAAAACACACAATGATGGTAAATTAGGCCTGCTTTAATTTCATGATAATGAATTTCAAATGCCCTTTAATGTGAGCTATCTAAACCTCTGTCTCAATCTCTCTGTCTCTCTCCCTCTCTCCACTCCCCTGTCCTTTCTGGCTGCTCCATTCTCATTCTCAGTAACGACCTTGCTCTTCCCACATTAAAGACTGTCATGGTGGGAAAAGAACATCTTAGACTTTCATCCTGCCTGCAGACACTCACATATTCCTCTTTCCCATCTGTTATTTGTTATCACAGACAAAGTACCCATGATCCTTTCTCACTGATGCCCACGTCATAAATCCTCTCATCTCAAACACCATGAATCCTCCGCTACAGATTTTCAGTTTGAAAAGAAACTCTCTCTTGACCTTACTTATCCTCCATGTGCTGCCCTATTTCTTCATGACCTTTTGCAGCAAAACTGCTCAAAGAAAAGTTGCCAATATTCACAGAGACTAATTTGTTGTCTCTTTCTCTCCAAAACTCTCTTTAATCAGGGTTTTGTCTCCACCACTTCGCCAAAACTGCTCTTAACAAAATCACCATTGACCTCCACTTTACTGAAATCAGTGGCCAATTTTCAGTTCTCATCTTACTTGACTTTCAACGACATTTAACCTATAATTATTCTTTTCTTCTGGACCAACTTTTTTAATTTCCAAGATGTAGCACTTCTGTTTTTTTCCATTGTTGCTGGTTTTTCTTCCTTGGCCTTTTATGCTGGTGGCCCATGTCCTCCTTGGCTATTTACCACTGTTGAGCCCCAGATCTCAGCCTGTGATCCTTACCCTTTTCCACCTATCCTTCTCCTTTTGGTCATCTCTTTATCTCATAGCGTTAAATAGCATATCACATATCAATGATATCATTTTTAACCCCCGACATGGAGATCAAGCTATCACCCATGTGATCTTGCCAGTTCATGATATCATCATAGCTACAATCAAACTTCTGATCTCAGCCTTGTCTTTGCCGTCAAAGCCACCAAACATGCTTATTCTGTAGCCTTTTCCAAATTGATTTTACTCAGGCCCAAAACTTTAGAGCCATCCTCTGCTCTTTCTTTCTTTCTTTTTCTTTGCAGTTTTTGTCAGGGGCCGGGTTTGAACCCACCACCTCTGGTATACGGGGCTGGCGCCCTACTCCTTGGAGCCACAGGCACTACCCTATCCTCCACTCCTTTTCCTCTTTTATCCTACATCCAGTCCATCAGGAAATTCTGCTGGCCCAACCTTTAAATACATCCAGAATCCAAATTCTCGCCAATGCTTCCACCACTCCCCCTCAGAGTGACCATGATCTCTCCACTGGGTCATTTTGGAGGCCTTCTATCTGACCTTCTTCTTTTTATCCTCCCCCTATCATCTATTCTTCCCCATAGACTATATTACATCTTGTTAAAGTCAGCTCACAGGTTTCTTCTGCTCAGAACCCTGTAAGAGCTTCCACTTCACACAGGGCTCTGTGTCCATACAATGGCTTATGAGTTCCTGCCCCACTGGTCCCTGTGACCTCACTGACATGACTTTCCTCCTCACACACTCCACTCCAGGTTCAAGGGCTATTCCTCAAACCACCAATCTCACTCCTACTCTAGGACCTGTCCGCTGATGGTCTCTCAGCTGGAATAAAGCTGCCCAGATATCCACGCGGCTGGCTTAGCAACTTGTAGTCTTTGATTACACATCTCCTCCATGATTCGGCCAACTCTGTCCACCTTCTTTAAAATTGCAACATGTCACTCCCTTCTTACCACCTGACTCCCCCACTTTTTCTTTTATCCATCAGACTTATCTCCTTCTTAAACACTGTGTGTGTGTGTATATATCATATATAGTCTATACATATGAAAAACAGAAGTAATTATAACATCACTATACATAAGAGCAATATAGTGTTTATATATTATGTGGTTTATTTATTATGTGTGTTCATTATCTCTCTTAGCTACTAGGAAAACTCTCAAAGGTGAAGACTTTTGTCTATACTTCTTGACAGTAAGGAGCAATTGAAATGCTCTTGTAATAGTCTAAAAAATGCTTATGAAGGTTCACTTCAGTCCTATCCTGCAAATATTTATTGGAAGTACAAAGATAAATAATCCAGAAGCCTTTCCCTTGAAGACCTTTTCAGTGGACAGATAGGTAATTTCAAAATGCCAAAAGGTAATGGAGCAGAACCTGGGCTTCCTGGACAGGACAGCATGAGCAAAGGCCAAGAGGCACAAAATGCTATCAAGTATTCAGAGAACTGAAAACTCATCACTGTGGTTGGAGTGATGGTCTATCTGATGAGCCCTTGCTGAGGCTACAGTCTCTGGTTATTCAATGACCACTCACCCAGTGTTGCTGTGAAGGTGCTTTGTAAATACAATGAAAGTCCACCATTAGCTGAGTAAGGGAGGTGTTCCTTGATAATCTAAATCAGACTGATTCAATCAGGTGATTGAATGAAGCCCTGAAAGAAGAATTGAGGCTTCCCTGAAGAAGAAATTCCAGCTATGGACTGCAGCTTCAGTTGTGTGCCAGAACTCTAGCCTTCCCTTCCATACAGCCTTCCCTGTGCATTCAGACTTGCCATCTGACCCTGCAGTGATGAAAGGTAATATTTTGCCACCGATCTCTAGAATATATCTTCTACTGGTCTTTCTTTTCTGGTTGAATCCTGATGGCTTCACTATAGTAATAAAAGTTAAGGAAGAAGAGGGCAAAAAGTACAAGGTGAGAGGCAGCAGGGCCCAGATAATGAAGGGCATTAGTTTGTAACATGCTAAGAGGTTTAAGCTGGACTGTATAATCCATAGGACAAGCACAGTGAGGGGTAAAGATAAATTAGTCTCAATTTGATGTAAAGGGTGTGCTGGGCTGAGGCAAGAGGAAGAGAGAGGCTGGAGGTTGAGAAATTAGGAAAATACCAAGTGACAGAAGTAAGAGGAGAACCAAGAAGACTGTCATGGAAACCCAGGGAAAGGTGTTTGGAGAGGAAGTGGGTGGTCCCTGCTGATCTGGGCATCAGAGGAGCCTGGCAAGCCTCCACCAGGTTCTGATAAAAGGAGGTCACGGAAGCCCTCAAGAACAGCCAGGATAGAGCAGAGGAGCGAGAAACTGTCCTGTTGGTGGAAGAGTGACTGGGAAATGAGAGAACAGAGCAAACAAAGATAGATGGCTCTTTCAAAAATTTGGCTTAGAAGGGAGGAAGGAAAATGGTAGTAGAGAGAAAATGATAGAGTGTCAAATGAAGATGATGCATGGGAAAAGCTTGAGCCTTTTCACGGACTGAAGTCAGCTGTACAGAAGGGGAACAGTGAAATGAAAACAATGGACACATTCTCCTGAGCAAGCTTCCAGAGAGGCAAGGTGGTCAAGACCCAAGGACACAGATGAAGGGTTGGCTGAGAACAGCTGGAATCCCCTCATCTTCTGAAAAGTGGAGGAAAAGGGGCAAGAGTCAGGGTAAGTGATAGAGTTAAGTGATAAGGACCATAGGGGACCTCCAGTAATTCATGTTCAAAGGCCCTGAGGTTTCTTGGTAAGGTCAGGAAACAGATCACCTGCTAAGAGAGAGAGGATGGCTTGGCACAGATTAAAGATGAGGCTTGGCTTCAGCAGGGACTGGGTGGCCCCCTGCCACCACATTCCACACAGGAATCAGGGTGGGTGACAGTTATTAGTCAGAATAAATTCTGAATTCCCTTGCAATGTGACTTTTTGTTTTGTTTTGTTTTTAGACAGTCTCACTATGTCAACCTGGGTAGAGTGCCATGGCATCATCATAACTCACAGCAACCTTGAACTCTTGTACTCAGGCAATCCTCTTCCCTTAGACTTCTCAGTAGCTGGTACTACAGGCACATGCCATGATGCCCAGTTAGTTTTTCTATTTTTTTAGTGAACATGGGATCTTACTCTTGGTCAGGTGGATCTCCTGAGCTCCAGCGATCCATCTGCCTGGGCCTCCCAGACTGCTGGGATTACAGGTGTGAGCCAATATGCCTGACCCAATTTGACATTTCTGTAACATTACTTTGCAGGGACATTGCCCTGACCACTGATGCTTCCTCACACCCCAAACAATGCCCAGCATGTTGCAGGCACTCAATAAACACTTGTTGAATCAGTGAATGCATGAATGAAAAGTGAGCTTCTCCCCAATATAAGCACAGAAAATTTTCACCCGCTTTAATGAATAATTATTTTAATATTTTAAAGAGATCACAGATGCTTCCCAGAAGACTTAAAATTTAATACAATGACTCTAGTCTTCTCTCTTTACCACAGAAGGATGTGCAAGCCAACACAGATAACTCAGGTTTCAAGTGAGCACTTCTACCTTGAAAGTTTTTTCTGTGTCATTTTAGATCAAATTATCAGGAAAATGGCCCAATCTCTATTTGGAAGAAGTTTTTCTGGACCAAGCAAGAGTTTATTCATTCTGACTTTCATTTAGATTCCATCACTATGGGTGGAAGTTAGCCTCGACCATCTTTATTACATCCAGCTCTGTCTTCTCTTAAGGGTCTTGGTGGCACTTGTCACTAACTGTGGTGACATGAGGGATTCAAAACAACTTCTAAAAAAAGGCTTAACTGGAAGTGGGGCATCATCATATAATAATAATATAATACAGGCTCTGCCAGGTTGCTGCTAACATGGGTCCCTGCTGAGCCTCCCCGTGCATTACCTGGGTGGAAGACTTTGGCCTTTCCATGAGTGATCCCAGAAGAGCTCGCCTCCATCTTCACTGACCTCCGGCCTGGTGGGAGTGAGGAATGCCTGACCACACGCAGGCGGCGTGACCCCGGGCGGCTTGCCACACTTCGCCGTTGATGGATTTGCAAACGTTTTTCAGCCCCATGAATAGATAAACTTAAACCTGGAATAAGAAATAACACCATGAGACTGGAGAAGGCAGTCCAGAAGGGCTACAGTGCTCAGTTAGGTTCTCGGATGAAATCCAGAGTGCTGAAGCAGTTGTGCTGAAAATTCTTAAGGTGCTGGGCTTCATCCAAAAGTGGACATCCTATTTATCATAACAAGACTTGTACATGAGGGCATCCGATAAGGTCAAATATGAACATTCTTATTGATATTCTTTTCAAAATCCTGGGAAACACATCTATAATTGGCATGCTGCTACCCAGGCCAATGGGGCCTAGGAATTGGTGCTGGGGTATCTAAGATTTTGGGGGGTTTTTTTGTTTAAATTTCAGAATAAGAGGGTACAAATGATTAGATTACAATGTTTGCGTTTGTTAGGTGAGGTCCCTGTTGTAGTTGTACCTCTCTCACCCAGGAGGTGACCCACACACCCTTACATTGTGCCCATTAAGTGGGAGCACACCAATCCCCCTCCCTCCTCCTCTGCCCTCCCTCCTCCCTTTTACCTTCAACTTGAATTAAATTGAGTTTTACTCTTATGTGAGTGTGTATTAGATCATCTATGCTTTTGTATTTGTATTACATACATTGAATACCTGCTTTTCCATTCGTGTGATACTTTACTAAAGAGAATATTCTCCAATCTATCCAGGTGAATACAAGGCATCTGGAAGTTCCATAAAAATCAAGGAATTTTTCCCACAGGATTCACAGATAGGCTCGTTGATTGCACACATGTTTACACTTTCGATAACCTTAGAATTATGTGCATCTTTGGAACTTTTTTATTTGGGAAAATTTCAAATGTACTAAAAGCACAAACAGTGTAATGAATAACACTTTTCAGCTTTGTTCGATCTACCCCGCTCCCCTTGTTGCTGGTTTGCTTTTTAGCTGCTGAAGTAGTTTAAAGTGACTCCCAGACAGCACGCCATGCTCACCAGAAGCAACATGGATTGAATTAACTTACAAAAATTACACTCATGCGGATTCTATTTCCGGATGCATCCAACTATATGAAAAATGTCTGAGTTCCAAGGCTATCTCTGAAAAAAACACTCATTGGTCACCACCAGAGGCTGCTAAGATACCCATTTATTACTCAGAAAATTGATGAAGAGAAAGAAGCATTTATTCTGTCCTGCCTTTACTAACCATATTTCAAGGTAACCAAATAGCTGATGCGGCAGAGTTCTTCGGTGCAAAATTCCTGCTAATAAATACTGAGAGAAAAGAGAATCATAAAATCATTCTAGAAGCCCCACTGAAATACGAAAGTTGACATGATTTGTCCAAAGAAGCACTGGGAGCACAGAGCCGGAATTCAAACTCAGAGCTAACTGAATCCAGATGTAAGTATTCCAAATTGCATATAAAAGCAGCACATTGTATCCCATCAATGAATTAATGTACACAGTTATTATTTAATAAAAACACAAATAAAATAAATGTTAAAGAAAAAGAACCAAGAAAAGGTGATAGCCTTATTTAATGCCAACAAATCAGCAGAACTCAGTCAGGAGCCACATCACCTGATAGGAGAAAGCTTAGCTTCACCAAACCACAGAGTTTTTGGTTAAGAGGAGATTCTGTCAAAACTTGAATGTAGGGATGGTGCCTGTGGCTCAAAGGAGTAGGGCAATGGCCCCATATTCCAGAGGTGGCAGGTTCAAACCCAGCCCCGGCCAAAAACTGCAAAAATAAATAAATAAAATAAAATAAAAATTAAAAAAAAATTGAATGTAGAAATTTAGAGTTGGCAGTTGCCTTATTGTTTAGCTCACAAATCTGGTTCCTTTTACAGCAGAGGAAACTGAGACCTGGGGAGGTAACATTTGGTTTATGGATTATCAATACTTGAAGGCTGCAGTGAAAAAATCAACTATGATCCCAGAAAACAGAGAAATCACCAGCCTGCTCAGAGGTAAAGTGCAAGATCAGCAACCACAGGTCGTGTCAAAGGCATGAAGAATCACCTTACATTTCCCCAGGTGGACAAAAATAGGATATGACCTGGGCCAGCCAATTTGTAAATTATAACAAATCATAAGAAAGGATGACCCAAAGCAGAATGAGGTTTGGTCAGCCAAGGAAACATTAAAACAAACAAGCAAACAGCACACAGTGTCTTAGAGACAGACATGGTCAGTGCCCACCTAAGAATTCAATGGTCCCGATTACACAGCCAGTTCTCATGTACGATTTTATCCTCCTCTACCCATTTAACTGCCCTCATTCTGACAAGGCTCACCAGACAAACTACTGGTTAGGATTTGGCACCCAGTACAGGAAGAGAGGGCTTACACTAGTATTCCTGTCTACCCGGCAGACACGGTTCTCAGTGTGAGCTAACAGATGAACATCCTGGGCTTTACACATCTACTTTCTTGTGGATTATTTAGTATGAGTCTGCCCCTAAGATCCAATTTCTAAGTCCACAGTGCTGTGACCCTGAGCCCCCAGTCTCAAGAAATTCACCAGGTTAGGACTGCCATATTGGGTAGTCCCTTGGGAGCCAGCCTGGCTTCCCTTGTTTGGACTACATTAGTGTTTTATTGTTCTTATGAGCGTATAATTATTTATATATTAATTTCATATTAGTATGGAGTACATGGGATATTTTTTTTCATTCTTGCAATACTTTACTAAGAAGAATGTATGTCAACTCCATCCAGGTAAATGTAAAAGATGTACAGTCTCCATCTTTTTTAATGGCAGAATAATATTCCACGGTTTACATATACCACAGTTTGTTGATCCATTCATGGGTTGATGGGCATTTAGGTCATGATTATGAATTGAACCATAATAAATATTCTAGTACAAACACAGCCTGATGTGTGTTGCCTGGCTTCCCTTGGCGATGTGTGTCCTGGTCTGATGCCCAGGTCCCTGGGCAGGTGCAAGCCTTCTCTGTCCCAGGACCTCTGTCTATGGTAGGACAGGCACGGCAACATCAACCCAGCTTTCTTCTGCCCTACTACTCTCTGTATCACTGCTGTGTGTTCCACATTTCCACAGAGGGGCAAACTGAACATCTGTAGACCCATCAAGACTTCAGAAAACGCAGACAGATTTGTAGGTGACAAGTGAAGGGAATGAAAGAGACATACTGTAAGCCAACATCAATCGGAAGATCCATGCAGTCTCGGTCTGCAAATATGAAATAGACTTCTCTCCTAAAAACATTTTTCCTGTCCCTTCTGCAGAGGATTACCAGGCTGGAGGGAAAAGGATTCTGACTCAGTGTGGCAGGCACTTCTAGCTTTTATGTAACTTCCTTCAAGGAAGCACAAAAGGACATGAAGTAGAATAAAAATTACACCCTGGAAATAATTAAGATGGGCACTTGAAACTGTTGAATTCTATGTTTTAAGAGTATAATAATGTAGATCATAAGAAAAATGATGAAAATAAAAGATAATTCATGAGTAGTACCAGGAAGAGATAGATATAAGGACAGTGGGATGTTACATGGAAATTAAGGAGGAACCCTTAAGGCCTGAACAAATCCATTCCAGTTGTCCAGAAACTAAGAATCCTCAGAAATACAGATAAATGACCTAGCCTATGAGCGCTTTTCTTATACAAGGGCCAAGTATCATAGCTACTACACAGGACAGCAAATACACTCCAAATACTTGGAAACATTAACATTCATAGAAGATTCAGAAGTTGAATCTTCAGAAGTGAATTGTCAGCCAATAAATTGCATCATCCAATTTGTTCTTAATTACTTTAGAAAAAAGTTGTTGACACCGATTATGTATTAAATGTCAGGCACTGTGTTCAATGTGAATCATTATCCCATTAATGCCTTATCACAATCATAAAAGACAGAATCAGGATCTATATTGTATAGATGGGAAACCTCAGGCTCACGAAGTTACTTGCCCAGGGTCATACAACAAGTGATTAACCGGAATTCCAACCCGGATCTTTCCCACTACACCTATAGTCTGAGGAATTCAATAGAAAGCCATACTTGAAGATTTAGGTCTACAGTGGTTCTCAATAGTGACTTAACAGTGAGCTATGAAGGTGGGGATTAGAAGGTTCAGAATGCTGACAATTCTTTGACCCAGCTTTTTTTTTTTTTTAATATAACCACATTTTTTTCTTTTTATTGGATGTCTATTTTTTTGAGTTTTTTATTTTTTCAAGTTAATATAAGGGTATAATTTTTAGGTTATATTGTTCTCACTTCCAGAGTAAGTTCCATTTGTAGAAGAGCCCCTCACCCAGGGGGCGTGTTATGCACCCTCACCATGTGCACATTAGGTGAGACCCCGCCTCATGCCCTCCCTCCTGCCAAACGTCCTCCTCCCTCCCCCATCCCATTTCCTTCTATCTCTGAACTGGACTACATTAGTGTTTTATTATTCTTAGGGGCATATAATTATTTCTATATTAATTTCATATTAGTATGGAGTACCTTGGATATTTATTTTTCCATTCTTGCAATACTTTACTAAGAAGAATGTATTTCAATTCCATCCAAGTAAATGTAAAAGACGTAAAGTCTCCATCTTTTTTAATGGCAGAATAATATTCCATGGTTTACATATGCCACAGTTTGTTGACCATTCATGAGTTGATGGGCACTTAGGTCATGATCATGAATTAGCCATAATAAATATTCTAATACAAATGGCTTTGTGGTAAAATAATTTTTGTTGTTCTGGGTAGATTCCTAGTAATGAAGTGGGCTCATCTCCCTCTCCCTCCCTCCCCCCAGAGTTGACTCAGGGAACGGCCCAGCCTGCCCCCTACTCCAGGCAATTTCCCAGGTCACCTGCCTCCTCCTCCTTCCCCCTCAGAAAACCCTCCCAAGTTCCCAATAGACAAAGGATGGTGGGAGCCTGCCTGTCTAAACTGTAACCATTGTTACCTAAACTGTATCCATAACCTAAACTGTAACCATTGTTATTTAAACTGTATCCATGACTACCCAAGCTGTAACCCCAGCACCCTGAGCTAACCAGCCAAA